AAAAAAAAAAAAAAAAGATTAGTGCTTTTAGTTATGGTTACTATAAACTGTAATAATTTCGTTTAAATTTAGAAAAAAAATATCGCTTTATTTCTGCACACCTTTCTCCCTTTTTTGTCACCTTGATGTCAGGTAGAAACGTACAGATAGTTGTTTGTAGAAAAAAAAATTATTTTAAAAATTGAACACTTGTTGTTGAAAAAGATGGTCACGATGAGATAATCAAAATTAAAAGGTAAATTTACAAAAAAAAAAAAAAAAAGCAACTCCTCACTTTTATCTGGTAGCATCACTGTGATTTAGTGGTGATATGTTGATTTTTGATCTCTTAGACAAACTACGTGCCAATAATTACTGGTGTAACAGAACAAAAAAAATTTTTTGCCAAAATATTTGGAACCGAAAAAGAATTTCTGACTGTCGTTAATACCATTTAAGCTTAAAAGTTTAGCTTTAACATTTTGTGCAAATTGTAAGTTATCAAATTCTTCTACTAAAGAAACGAGTGACAAAAAGGAGATAAAGCTTTCAGTAGTAAAGCACTTCTTTTTTTGTCGCTTGCACCTTACCGCATATGTTACCTGTCTTGATACTACAGATTTTATATTGTCATCTGTTAAAAAAGAAATTCTCAAAAAAAAAAAACAAGAAGAAGACAAAGAATAGAAACTTAAAAATAGTAGAAAACAGCGGTTTATCCCTGCTATATTAATCAAAAATAAAACGGAACAAAGACTGCGAAAAAAAAAAATTGTTTCCAACAGATTTGTTACATAACGAACAATATGTATGAACGGTCACTAAGCAAATGTACTGGATTGGTTATTGAAATATAAAAATTGTAACAGTGGAAGGAAAAATAATGATACAAATGCTTTAAAAAATGAGAAAGAAAAAGCAAGAAAAAAACTTCTATTCTTTATATCGTGAGAATTTTTAATCGTATACTTTTCTTCTTCATTTTTTCTTGCTTTTTTCTCTTTTCTTTTTTATTTATTTAAAGGTTTACATCGTTACGTCTTTCTGTTGTATAAGCAAAAACGAAAATTGTCGAACATTCAGCCGATAAGTTTTGAGGAACGAAAATGTTGGCATGCAGCTAGATTTGCCGGCCAAAATGGCCTTGGTAATCCAATTGCAGGCAATTTCTATCAGGTATTATTATAAGCAAACCAAAGAAACCGTTTTTGTTTGTTTACTTTTTTTCAATCGTTTTCATCATACCAAATTACAGTTTATCGCTTTTGAACAACAGTTATCCAAAAGAAAAGGCTTAATGTCTTTCCTCTAAACATGTGATAGCATTGTTGCTATTGTGCTTCAACTTCCGGTATCCTTAACACAAAATTTTCTTTTCTTTCAGTCAGAATACAATGAAACGACATAAAATGGTTAGCAAAGCGAAGGAAGACCAAAAAAAATTGAAAAACTACAAGCAAAAAAAAAAAAAATGCTGAAAAGAGCTGATAGTATTGATTTTAACTGTAAACCAAAAAGAAGAGAGACAAAAAAAAAGATTGACAATGATCGATATATATCCGTTTATTTTTGGCATACTGAAGAAAAGCATATATATAAATATATGTGTGTTGTTGTTACGTATCAGTTATATATACATTGATAGGCTGCTGTTGCCTTTCTTTTTTTTTTGGTTGTCTATACGTTGTCATATTGATGAATTACCCGATGTTGCTTAAGTATATTTGCTTAGTTAAAATTTGGTCCATAGTTTCGTTCTTAGTCTTCTGCTGCATTTTTTCTTGTTCTGTTGTTGTTTCTTATTTCTTCTTCAAAAAATGTTGAAAAAAAAAAAAGGACGGCGAAGAGGAAACAAAATGAAAATTTTTTGCAAAAAATAGAGCACATTTGTCTGCTGTAGTAAATTAATTTTAAAAAGTTTTGAAAAAAAGCTGAGAAATCTTTGTTTTTTTATTAGATTTGACAGAAAAAAATTACGTTTAATTTTTTGCAAAAATTTTACCTTTGTTTACCACAAAAAAAATAAGTTGTGCATACAGTGATTTTCATTACAGTGAAGAATACCGAGAAGTTGACAAGGTCTTTTTTTATTTTGGAAAATTGCAAAAAGATACATCAAAGTACTTATTTGTTAGAAAAAAGGTTTTTTTTATTGCTGTAAAATATAAACTATTAGCAATAGTCAAGTGTATGATAAAATTTTTATCGACTAATATTGCCCGCTTTGTTCAAAGCTGTAATATGGGTCAAATGCTGTGTTATTTTCAGTCAGAATTTTCAATTTATAAACTTTTGCTTCAACTGTTATTTGTGAATAAAATCGGTATTCCTTAACTCTACTTTTTCAGTGTATTATGCATTAAAATTTGACCACTGTTTTGATTAGGCAGACTAACTGACCACAAGTATATCTATCTATTCGTTGTTCATTGTACTAAAGCAATAAAATTACCTTTAACTGATTGCTGGATACAGGAAATAAGTTTCTGTTGACCGATGATGGCAACCAGTATCAGTGTTGTTAATGCAAATTAAGAAGTGATGGAAAATTGATATTCGATAATCAATGTACCGTAATATCAACCATTATTCAGTTAGGTTAATTGACAGAGTGTTTCCTGTTGTTATCAGTTAGTGTTGTAACCAAAATGGTGAAAAAAAATCTTTTTTTTCCTAATTTTTTTACCTTTTTTTTGTAACCATTATCCAAGTCATAAGCTTTTTTTACTGTAGAAAAATAATGTTGATTTGCTTTATTCCAAAAGTGATGACTCGGCGACTGTTTACTGTTAAAACAGTTCAAAAGCATTTTACTGACACTTCAATTTGTCACTCCTGTTGTCTTCAAATATATTTTTACAGTGTTTCTTGTTTTTCTTCTTTTTTTCCCCCTACAAATTTGTACTTTGGAAATTTCCGATTCTGAAGACTTAACTGAGCGATAGCTGCAGACGGTGATCGTCAGAATGCACAACTTTGGGTAACAGTATTGTATTTCAGATGACAAGTAAACATGTTGATTCTAACCATTTTATAAATATTGCTGTGTAAAGATTACCGTTTTTTCTCTCTCTCCTCTCAATGAATCTGTTGTATTTAATTGAATTTTTTTGAATGTTGAAGACTGCATGACAAATATTTGATTAAAAAGTTGCAAACATTTATAATCAAACTAAAAAAAAAAGTTATAAAATTTTCCTATTTTTGTCGATGAAAAAAGTGAAAGCAGAAGAGATGCCTTTGAGAAAAAAAAGCAATAAAAAGAAAAAAAAATAGAGTAAATCGACCAAAATCTTTCAAAAAATTTTCTGTTAAAGAGAAGTAAATTTAAATAATTACTTTGAAACTTTCAAAGAAAAAACAAGAATTTTCTTTTGTTGATAGAGAAACGGTATTTGCAACGATTTACGAGTAAAATTTGTGAAATTTCTGAGATGTAATTGCGGATTAATGACTTTCACCGTTAGTATCATTGAACATTAAGATATTGAAGTAAGCAAAGCGACAAAGTATAAAATGTTTATTCAGTAAATTATCTATGAAATTTTCGAGTATAAATAGCAAAAGTAAATTAAAAATAAAGCAGAAAAATGCAAAAAAAAAAATTTTTTTTTTTTGACATATTACAAAAAAAAAAAGACTGAAGAAAAATTATTTTTTCAAATAGAATGAATAAATTCCTCCTGTCAAGCACTCTTTTCCTTACACATATTTCCACTAATACTTTCCTTTTCTCCCAAGTTTTTTTTTTTCACAATTTCACACTGCTTAAATGTTCTGTTCAATTAATGTTAAACGAGAAAAAAACCAACTTAATTACAGTATTATTGAACGATAACAACATTTGTTATTTTCTTCTCTTTTCTGTAATGGAAGACAATTTAGCCCCCCCACCCAAAAAAAAAAAAAAAATCTTTCTATTTCGGTAATATCTTTTGAAGAAAAAAAAAGGCTATAATATGACAAAAAAGTAAAAAAAAAAAAGTGACATTTTGTTATATGGTTGATTGTTGATTTTGAAAATAACACCCATAAATCTGGGAAGCAATCTGTGTTATTGGTACAAAGCAGGAAATTGATATGTAACTGTACAGAGACAGAGCAGTTGAACAAAGCCAGTACTGGAAACGGAAGACAGTAAATTTCTGGAGCACACTTTATCGGGGTAAGAAACAACTCTTTCATGCTTCTTCCATTTCTTCATTTTTTTTTTTCGCTGAGTTTCTTTTCACTAAATGACTTACCGACTA